GCTTTTATAGCTATCCTCACCTTTGCTCTTGGGACAGGTATGTCCAAAAGGAATAGAAAAGCCTCGAGGAATTCTGTTCTCATCTATCTGAGAAGGGATTCGTCTGCATTAAGGGTGTTTCTCATACCCACCGCTCCTTACACTTTCGCTTTTGGTACATCTCTCTCACACAGGTTGAGATTTCGCCTGGTCCTTTTCTGATTCCAGTGGATTTTATTTTTTTTCTAGCAGGGGCTGCTCCAAGGTACGTCTGCACCTACTACGATGTTGTTGAGTACCTGAACATTTCCTCTCACAGCAAGCTGCACGCACACATACTGCCCAAGACAAACTTGAAGGAGCCTCTGGAAGTGACGATGGATTTTATGCTGGTGGCTATTCTCTCTGTGGTAAGAACCCAAAACTCCCGTTGCGTCATTAGAAAACTGGGTGATTGTTAGGTTGGGGTCTGAGACTTCTGCCAGGCAGGGCTGGGCCAGCAAGACCATGGGGGTGAGAATCATCCCCTTCCACTTCTTCAGCTTTCTGCTCTTTGAAAGCATTTTTGGAAGGTCTGGAGTATTTTCTCCCACCTACTTCCAGGAAAATGTTCAGAGGCGGGTTCCGACAAACAGCGAAATGCCTCAGCTGAGCAGTGCGGGGCACTGGCATTTAAATGTCAACAATAATCTCTTTTTTTTTTCAAACTGTTGGACCATATGCTCCCACTTTTCAGCCGTAGGACTGAGATCTTTGAGGTCTCCTCCTGAGTTTCTGCAACCTGTGCTGTCTACTGCAAGAGCAACAGGGGAGAGCTTCTGGGCTCTGCATTGGGGGTACCTAAGAAAATCAGCTAAATACCTTCCCTTCTGTTTCTCCAGGTCGAAAAGCTCCAGACGGTCACTTTTTACTTCGTGTTGAACCTGGTAGGTCCCTCGAGAGCATTTCTCTCCTGACGCCCAGCACGATGGCTGGTGCCAAGCCTGACACTCATTTCTCTCCTGCAACTTCTTCCCCCAGGAGTGGAAAAACACTTTTGCAACCTGGGACCCGCAGGATTTCTGTAACATTTCCCAAATCGTTCTGCCCACGAATACGTATTGGTCTCCCCCCATCTTCATTTTAGAGCGGTAGGTTCCCCTTTCATTTTTATCCAGTGGCTTAAGAGAAATGCAATGGATGCAAAGTGTTGGTATTATTGTGGGAAATGAGATAAACTCACGCAGTTGAAAGTTGTTCCCATGAGATCTCTGTAACCGAGAACCTCATAATTTGGATTAATGGCAACCACAGTTTACCCAAAGCACTTTTTGGCTCTGTAATATTGTAACATCTCTGGAAACGTCCAGTCTGGGCTGTAGTTAAAGCTGAGGGAGCAGCAGAGACAGCAACGCCGTGGAAGGAAACGACCCGTAGCAGTTTATTGTAAGACGCAGGACAGAGCCCTGTGGGTCTGAGAGGGGGATGGAGGGACGGGCACTGCCGCTGGCTCTTCGGCTGGGGGGGAAGGAAGGGGGGGTCAGCTCTGCAGCCCAGCGGGGCCGGCAACGAGCCCCTGCCCGAGGGGAGAGCGGGAAGTAGAGAGGAGAGGGGCAGGAGTCTCCTTAGGAGGTGCAGAGCTACTACAAACCTTAGTCCGAAGGCACTCACCAGCCCTTCTTCAAGCCCCGGGTTTCCTCTCCTCACTGATGCACCCCCCAGCTGGGTCATGGCACGGAGCCCCTTGAAAGGACACTTATGGCTCAGGCTCTTGTGGGACTGAGGAGCGTTGCAGCGTCTTGGAGCTCGGTCGCTCTCCGCTTTTGTTTCCCCCAGAGTGAACGGACAAAACTCCAACTTGGATTATATGGTCGTCATGCACAACGGCAGCTTCAACGCCACCCAACCCTTCCAGGTTACCTTAACGTGCAGCTTGATGATCCTCAAGTTTCCTTTTGACACCCAGACGTGCAACTTGAGCATAGCTTCATTCCTCCACCCAGGTACAGTGTCAAGCTGAGATTTACCACAGCTGGGCTAAATTTGCAGAAGGAGGTATAGATGGGATGGACCCTGGCTAACTCCTGGGTTCCCTTAGCAGCAGCACCACAGGCTCGCGCTGGGTTGGTGGGGTTGAGGTCATGTTACACGGGGGAAATGAGGTAAAACACTGTCATTCTGTTTTGGCACATTCCCCAGCAACATCTCTAGAAGCATCGGGATGTTCTGTGGCAAGATCCCCCCGGGACTGTTCTCTACAAACCAGAGAGACTCGGTGGCTTCCTGCAACAAGGCTACTTGTTCGCATACAATTTTGCAGGACTGATCTTTAAACATACCCGAAGGCCATGGAAACGAGAGGAAATTAAGGACAGTTTCAGGGATCGAAACTGCAGTCAGAGTTCATCCCAACAGGAAAGGGCTGAAAAATAAGCAGAGTTGACACGAGACCCTCCAGGTTCCATCCGCAGAGGACAACTGTCCTAATTCACCAGAGATTTCCCCTCTCATCCGCATTCTCAGAGGTCCAGCCAAGTCTCTTCACCCGAGTCCTTTTTAATTTCTCCCTGATGGGCTAAGAAACCCCAGCAGTGTGAGAAACATTGCCTTTCCCCATCGACAGGGACCCTTGCCTGGGAGGGAAAGGGAGAGGAAACAACTGACCTCTAACAAACACCTAAATTCTGCAACTTCTCTCCTCCTCTGCCTCCTGCCCAAGCAGTAACAGACCTTGTCATGAAGACGAGACGGACACCAGCTGAGATGATGAAAGTCAGCCAGAGTTACTTCCTAACTGATGGAGAATGGAAGTTCACCAACCTGAGCATCATTGAATACATAGAACAGCTGGATGACGGGCAATTCTCTGTGATCACCTATGTGGTATGGCAGTACTTTCATATTATATTGCACTGATTTGCCACCAAAAAGAAAAAAAAGAAAAAAAAAAAGAAGAAATAATTTTCTATATTAGGGAACAAGCATTTGCCCAACACAGTAAGTTATCTCCTGCTCACCTAAACTTTGTCCATCTTCTTAAACAGATTTCCATGCAGAGACGACCCACTCTGTATGTTTTGAACCTGATCCTCCCAACCTGTGCCCTGTATCTGCTGGATATGGCTGTGTTGTTTGGACCCAGCTCTCTCGAGGAGAAAATCAGTTTCCAGATTGCCATCATCCTCGGCAGCTCCATGTTAGCCGTGATTCTCAACAACATCCTCCCAACCTCCTCCAACAAACCACCTGTAATAGGTACCCGTCTTCACTGAACAAAAACTAACTGATTTTTACACAGGTACCAACCCTAAGGAAGGTCTTTGGGAGTTTATGAACACGTTCGTGAACACTGATGCCATGAACAGCTAAGCTTTATCAGTTTGCTGAGTTAGAAATTCCCCCCCTTCCTCACCGGGCAACTGAACGCAGACAGGATTACATTTGAGGAAATGATGCCGATTATCAAGGGCTTGTTTTGTTTTCGTATCGTTCTGCAGTGGTGTTCTTCTTAGGCACCTTCCTGCTCATGATCATGGCTGTGTTGGACACCTTCTTCCTGTTGCACCAGCAGCACAAATCCCTACGCTTAAACAAGGCGCTCAGAAGCTTCCAGCCAGGTAAAGCAACCCATAACCTCTTAAACCGGTCGGTGGGGTGACCCGCACTTTACCGTCAGATTCCTCGAGCGAGGGTGGGCTTCCTCAGGGCAACTAGCGCCCCAGGCAGTGTCAGTCACCCACCAACCCCCCTATACCGACACGTGCTATTTGCTCTTTGCAGACGTGCACGCCGAGCTGGCCATGACAGCCGTGAACAACCAGACCACGAAACACCTCGCCAAGGAAGGCGCCCAGCTCCTGCACCTGCCCAAGAAGGCCCGGGGAAAAGGGCAACCGGCAAAGCCCCACTGGCAACTGCAGGAGCAGGACCCGTTCCTGCCTGTCCTGGAGAAGGTGCTTCTCTACAGTCACTTCCTCCTGTCCTTGTTTTTTTTTGTTATTATTTCTATAAAATGGAACAGCTAGAGACCAGCTCTGCGCAGTGCTCGTTCAGTTGCTCTCCACTGTATCGCTTCTAACCCTTCCGCTGCAATTTGTCTCCCGCTTGATTCATAGAGCTGCAGTTCTTTCAGTTGCCTAAATAAAATAAAAATAAAATGAAAAACCCAAACCCGCAGGGCACGAGATCTGCATGCTTAGTGCTTTGTACTCCAGTTTATCAGAACTACATATGTTCTTAAAGTATTCTGTGGGCTAGCAAAGTATTTAAATAAAACAGTTGTGGAATTGGGGGATAATCCCTTCATTCTATCTATCAGGAATTCTTACCACAAACATGACCATCAGAAACAGGAGTTAAGGCACTTCTCTTATGGAGGTGTTTTGATTCTGGGGAAAGGCGTTTTAAGAATTCCACCTCAGATAATTAAATAAAATAATGCAATTCTGAAGGGTTTGTATTATTGTTTCTGTGAGTTTCAGTGAGACCCGCGTCATTCAGAAACCCAGGACAGAGAATAATAGGATCACCAGGATTAACGGGGCAATACTTGTTTTAAAAAAGTAACTTTTTTTTTTTTTAAAAATGTATCTCAACACATCTACACTCCTTCAATTCCTTTTGCAACTGGTTGCACCTAAACCATCACAACCAACCTAGAAAACAGCCCTAGACCTTTGCCTGTAGAATTATTGAGACATATCTCCCACTGCATCACAGCTCACTCCTAAATACACTCCTGCATCTCAAAAGGCTTTATACGCTCAACTGCTGAGCAACTATTTACCTGCAATTGCACAAGGACTATATTCCCTGCCCCACCTGGCTAGAGAGATGAACAGACGGTTTATTTGCATTACAGAAGATGCAACAGGACTCAGCTTGATCAACAGCCCTAGCTGGGCTCTCGGTCCCTGCTACAAAAACAAGCTCACAGGCAGAAAAGACAAAAGTCAAGGAAAAGTGGGCTGTTTGCAAGTTACTGTATTGTTCCACGTGTCTCAAAATTTTGCAACCTCATGTCTAAGATCTAAGCCACAGATAGGAGGGAAAGTACTTTATTTAAAAGATCACAGAGCGTGACAGCCGTTAGATAATCTGCTTCCAGACAAGTTTACAGATCAGCAATCGGTTTGTGGGGCCAGAACGGGTATTTCTCCTTGTCCAGTTTGGTTTCAGGGAAGGCTTCGTGCAAGTCTTCAAATGTCATCTGTTCAAAGGGAATCATGCTTCTCAGCTTCTGAAGCTTAAAGAGGGAGCAGAGACAAACACGTTACAAGTCACTTGACAGCAAGAAAGAGCAAAGCACACACAAGTAAGACCAAGGTGTGTGCCAGGCGGGGTTAAAGAGAATATTCACCAAGCAAGGTCCAGACTTACCTGTTGCTCATACTGGGCGATACGAGCTTTGGAAGCCCGCACATACTCAGCAGTGCTCTTTGCCTGCAGGAAAGCAGAAGACCTGGTGAACACGGTTATGATAAAGACAGTGACCTACAGTGAACCTGCAACCCCATGCCTTAAGCTGGCATTACCATTCATCATCATTACACCAGATAAGCGGACAGAATCTTGATCAAATCCCAAATAGCCAAACCCTTCCACATGCAGAGATCCTCTCGCTTACCCAAAAGCCAGAGACACGTGCGAAGACCAGAGCCGTGCTCTAGCTCAGGCTGCCCTGCCTGTGCAGACACACGTACAGAACATCCCTTCCCTCTCACCCCTCCCCATCCTCACAGAAGTCAGAGACAAACCCCGGCATTAGGGAACAGGTTGAACACTTACAGCTTCCTGCTCTTGGGCATCAATTTTGGCAGTTTGTGTATCCACTGGCTCAGGAACCTTTAGTGCACTGAACTGTTTATCGAAAGAGAAAATTGCTTATATCATTTGACTGAAATAATCCTTCACACCAAGGTAATTTTCCCTAGCAGCAGAGAAGCATTCCCTCCTTTCTTCCTAGGATATGCTCACAACTGTATAAGTTCACAAGCTTTCTAAAACTGATTACTGCACCTTAACCGCGTCCTTCACAAGCAGCACTGCTCACCTGTGAGGTTAAAGCAATCTATTCTGTACTGCATACCACCACCAGGACACGTAATACCACACACATTCATCACAGCTCTGTAAAGAGCAAAGCGCCACGTTGTAAGGAAGCAAGAAAGCCAAATACCAAAGACTTATCATATCACAGAATGATTTCCCCCAAGACAAAGTTCCCAGATCCATCTGAGGTCAGCGGGTCCTCCCAGCCTTGGGAGGCCAATTTTCATAGTGTCAGTGACACCATCAGGAAAAGCCTCGTTCGTGCTTTTCAATTCCTGTTTATAAAGAGGACGGCAACCCCTGCAGGCATCTGTTAGCATTACACATTTCACAGCGTGCAGAGCCACACTCGCCACCTTCTTCCATTCAGTGAGTTAGAAAAATACTATGTTTGCGTCAGGAGAAGCACTACCCGAGAATTCACTCCTGCAGCCAAAATAATTTATCAAGTTTTCTTTCACTAACTTCCTCACCCTACAGTGCCACAGGTTCCCTCCTGAAAGATGGCACTCAAGTGACCTCCTCGAGGTCAGCGACACTGATCTGCAGGATGTAAAGCCAGGGCATCTGCTAGCCAAAACCAATTCCTCCCTGATTCTGGCATTTTCCACTCAACACCAAAGACATTCCACATTTAACTTCCAAAGAGTGATACTCAGCTGGCGAAGATACTGACCTTCTTCTGAAACTCATCCACCATGCCAGCTTTAGCAACAGCAGTCTTGTAGTGAGCCCAGTCAATGGTTGGGGGTTTTTCTGGCAGGGCGGCCAACCTAAAAAGACAGAGGACAGCAGTCACAGCCAGCGCTAGAAGTAACCCTCCACTATCACTTGCTCTCTGCCACAGTTACTTTCCAGCGCATCAACAGAGCCTGCTAGGTTTAGGTTAAATATCTTCAGGTCCATCGTTAACAAGCAGCGATGAACAATTTCCTCAAATCCCTCTGCCCTTGAAATAGACTTCTCTATACAGACAAGAAGGACTCAGCCTGCAGCCCTGCTCCACTCCAAACTACTATGCAGCATCTCTGGGTGCAGCCCTGTAAGAAAGGCTCAGGCAGTTTTCACAATATTGAGCTAGCGGCAATCAGCAATATTAGCTGTAACAGCCAACAATATTTGTATCAAGCAGCAGAAGCTGAAGCATTTGAGAAGACTCTGAATTCGTGAAGCACTTAACAGAATAACAAAGCTTGTAAAACGTTTTGAACACGCCAAAGCAATCTGCTTTCACAAAACTGCTTTTTTATATTGCAGCTGCTGTTTTACTCTGGGGACGATTAAGTAAAGATGATCTGCCAAAAAAAGCCACCAACTGTCTTGAAGGTGACCTGCTTCAATGCCTCTCAGGACACTGCTACAAGACCACAGCTACCAACACTGTCTCAAGACCGTGCCGTAAAGGTTGAATGGTTCAGCTAAAGGACTGAACCGCCCCCCCCC